ACAGCTGTGTGAGTGGAGGTGAGATTGCAACAATAGAGCAGTACGCCTTTTTCATCAGAGACAGATCATTTCTTTTTATAAAAAAAAAAAGAAAGAAAGAAAATAAAGTAGAACCCAAAGCCCTAATCCTAAAATTGCTCCAACCTAGTAGTGATTTTTCTGGCAATTTGAACACACTGAACACACTTGTCTCTCCCCCTCTGCCATCTGCTGCCTTGCCTTACACACACACACACACACACACACACATGCACGCATACACACATGCACGCACACTCTACTCCCCACCCCCTTGGCCAATCACTGCAGGAAATTCCTCACCAGGTACAAATAGAGAGATTACATCTCAGTCTCGTTGCTGATGCCACAGAAGACCAAACCTCCCTGGAAGAAACCCACAGAGACCCAGCAAGGAGACTGTTGAAAGGAACCAAGTCTGTATTAAATCTGCAACAAAGTCAGAAAGTTCTGAAATAAGTGAGGGAGACCTTGCACCTCTCTTTCCTACCCATCTCAGACGTACATGGAAACTTCCATTTCTTGTTCATTTTCCTTTATTTCTCTCATTCTACTGTCTGTGCTCTAGGAGTTAAACTTTATCAGTCCCACAGTGATTAAGACTTCTTCTGAACTACAACTGTTGCAAGCCAGCCCTTCCTGCTTCCTGCCCTGGTTCCACCCAAACTAGTCTCCTGCCAGGTTAACTTCATCCTCTAACAAGGAATTTCATGCAGATTTTCCACAAGAGGGTTTCTTTATTTTGACTTATGTGTAGATTACCTAAATTCCTTATATAATATCGGTGATTTTTCTCATACTCAGAGAGCCAAGAAGAAGAAAGCACTTGGGATGTTGGGCCACCCAAAGACTCTGAAGGGCTTGAGATCCACAGCAAAGACCATTGAGATCAAGATTCTGAAGGGCTTGAGATCCACAGCAAAGACCATTGAGATCAAGACTCTGAAGGGCTTGAGATCCATAGAAAAGACCATTCACAAAGGAAAGCTTTTCCTCATAGGTGGAGCATTTTAAGCATGATATGGTCACTATGGTGGGCTTTATTCCTATGTCCTCTTGGGAAGTCACATACACACATTCACACATACATATCCTTGAAAAAGAGGGGGGAAAAAGAGTTCTTTCCATAAGAACAGAAGCCAACATATGTCATAGGAGTAAAGAAAGAAGAATAGAAACAGAAAAGTTACCATTTTGAAGCCATCGAAGAAATAAGTAATTCAACAAAGGGTCACCCACGAACTTTAAATCACTGGGTGAAGTTTCTTGAAAAGCAGGATATTCATGGGATTTCAAACTACCATCCCGTAGGTCACTTCTAAGTTACAGAAGAAAAGGGATCCTTTATAAGGGAGACAACTTGTAGCCACTACCCTTACCAAGTGATCAAATTTAGCAAAAAACCAATAATGTTATGAACTGATGCACATATGATGTATCCCCTGACGGGATTCCATGCCAACTGCATACTACCTTGCCATAAATATTTAAGTTGAATTTTGCCCTGAGGAAGGAGGAAAATCCAAAATCTGGGGACATTCTTTGAGGCAACTTGCCCAGACTCTCAGAAATTGCCAATGACATAAATGATAGGTAGATAGATAACATACATACGTGTATACATACCACATGACTAGACTGGGGGCTACTTAAAGAACAATTAAGAAACATATAAACCAAATGCAGTCATAGACCGTTCACTGTATCCTGAATTTTTAAAACTGTTTCTGCATTTTAATCTTTTAATTAAGAACTATTTAACCATATGGAAAGGTGCAGAAAATAAAATGGATGACCGTGTGATTAACATCCAGACTAAACAGCTGTTAGTATTTTTCCTGCATTTACCTCAGATCACTTCTACCAAAGAAAGACCAAAAGATAAAGCCAACGCCACCACCCCCTTCCCTCACTTTCTTCTCCTTCCCTCCACAGAGGAACTGCTGCTTGAAGTTGTGTTGTGTGACTCCCACGCCTGACCCCAGGCTTTCCTGAAATATTTGTCTATGCAAAACAGCATTTGCTATTGTTTTCTGTGCATTCAGAATTTACATAAATGGCATCCTATCCTGGACTTTTTTTTTTTTAAGTGCTATAAAGGGAGTTTGGAGAAAACTTAGGGAAATTCCATTGTGAGTTACATGTTAGGGAGTGACCACATCTATGTTAAATTTCTCGGGTGTAATATTGATAGGGTAGTTACACTGGACCAGGCTTTTGTCCTCTAGAGGTATAGTCTAAAGTGGCTAGGGTTGAAATGTCATAATCTCTGCAACTGACTTTCAAGTGACTCAGGGGGGAGAAAAGCCAGTGCGTGCACATACATATGCAGATAGAGCAAATGTAGCAAAATGCTAGCAATTGTGACTCTAGATGAAAGCTATAAATGTTTCCACTGTAGTATTCTTTCAGATTCTCTGAGGGTTGGAAAATGTTTAAATAAAAATTGAAGGAGATGGAAGAAACCCTCACCTCTTCTAAAATGCTATTAATTTTCCCCTCCCAGGGAGGGTGATGGGTGGGATCTCACCTAATGTGCAGTGTGAGGGTGTTCAGCATTCCTCCTGGGTGAGGGGCTCAACTATAACTTAAACTTTACCTTAAAAATGAAAACAGTGTAACATAAACACTAGTACCCTCATAGTAATCTGAAATGTTTAAAATGTGCTATTATTGCTTGGAGGGTATCCTGAGCTATGGAACAAAAATTCTCAGTTTCCCTGTCCTTTCCTGGGCCCTAACCATTATCAAAGATCTCAGCTTCGTCACTCAGTTTTTTCTCCACCGCACTCTCCTATCTTAATGAGGAGGATTTGTTTCAGGTGTTGTGATGCTGAAACCGAACAACAGAGAGAAGAGGAGGAAGCGTGTGGGCTGAGGCTGGAGAACAGCATGCCCGGGGACGACAGGACTGGGAACTGCGGCTTGCAGCAGGAAGCAGCTGACGGAAATCTAGTGGGGTGGATCAATCTCTGCCGCAAAGTCACCTTCTGTCAACTTTGCCAGCTGCCTTCTTCCCAAGATGGGAGCCTCACTCTGGTTCACCACCACTGTCGCCTCTATCTGCTGTTGTTAGAACCCACCAGTGGCTGCCCTAGGTAATAATATGACGTACATTGAAACTCCCATTTCTTGTTCATTTTCCTTTATTTTTCTTATTCTACTCAGTCTGTGCTCTAGGAGTTAAACTATCAGTCTGAAAGTGATTAAGGCAGGGCCAAGGACCTGTATAGGGACCGTGGGTGGAACTGAACCACCTCCCAACTGAATATCTTCAGCTGCCATCTCAGATCGGATCTGACTGTCTGGAGCCCTCATTCTGATGCCATCTTCCAGAAACCCTGGCTTCTGCCCTTCCAGCCACAGTAGATGGGACTGTCCTTCTTCCTGTGCTGCCTGGCTACTGGTCAGAGGGTCCAGTGACCTGTGGAGCTGTCCTCCCACCACTGACAAGAACAGCGATTGCTCCAGGCATCTTCTCCTGCTCATTTGCCTTTAGAAAATCTCCTTAATGTTCTGTTCTATGGAAGGAGCAAGTTCTCTCAATCCTCTGTTTCTCTTGTTGTTGCTATTGTCTTGCCCTTTAATTAAATCTGACAGTTAGGCAGGCGTGTTTGAGCTCAAGGCAAACCAAGGCCAAGTGGAATCCGGGCAGGGCGTTCTGCCTCTTGAGAGCAGGAGTCTCAGCACAAAGCCCGAAGCAGAGCAAAGGGAAAAATCAATAGTTCTCAGCCACACTCATTTTCAAATGTGAATGGTACTTGTGATTAGCGAGGGAGGCGGTGGGGAAGTTTCGCTCTTGAGTTGTTTTGTTGTGTCCCTGGCTGTTTTTGTGGCCTTTGCCTACCAGTCCAATTCACAAGTTTAACATCAGCTGAAGATCTGGATAATGAATCGCTCAGAATGATGACAGTTGCCTCAGTTAGGGTGTCTCCCTTTGCCTCGTTTCTGGGTGATTTTTGAGATTCCATGAAGGGTATGGATAGCAGTATGGTCAGCTTATACTCAGGGGGAAAGGAGCATTTATCACATAACACCACAAATCCACAGTTCTCTAGACTGAGAAGGGTACACTTATAAGCATGGTTTAATAGGAGGGCTGACCTAGTCAGGATAGGGAAAAAGAAGGGATTGGGGAGACGCGATACTGAGAGGAGACACCAAAATGATTGAGAGCTTGGCAAAGTGTGGGTGGACGCGTGTGTGGTGTCTAAGCTCAGGCACGTGGAGGGTGTGTGGAGGAATGTGGTTGCGAAGTGAAAAACACTGTTCAAGGCCAAGGGAAATGCAGGCACAGACCTCGAAGAGGAAGAAAGGGAGATGCTCTGGGCAAGAAGTCAGAAGTCAGAAGTGCTGATTCCCTCTGTTGAAGAGGGGAGTTATGGAAACCGCATTGCAATAGGATATTCTACACACCCCAATATCTTCCAGAAGATCTAGGAAGGTCCAATTTCCCCAGAAACGTCTCTATTACCCAGTGACAGCGAGACCTTAAATTCCACCAGTAGCCAATATAATCTTTGCGTTCACTTTGCCCTTTATTTTTAAAGTGTAAACAATAAGCCATTTATCCACTGGGGTTTTTTGCCCCGGCAAATCTTTATTAAGCACCTGTGCTGAGCCAGGTATAAGTCTAGTAATTGAGGTTACAGCAATGAACTTGACAGAGACTGTCTCTTCCTTGTGGAGTTTACAGTCGCACTCTGGAAAAGCATGACTGTCTAGAACTTCCTCTAGGATAGCATCAGTCACTTCAGTCTAGAATAATGGCTTTGCCTCTTAACTCCAGCGGTTGCTTTGATTGGAGTACAAAGTAGATTAGATGGGATGAGAGAAAGAGAGTTTACTTATGCTGTGTTTAAAAAAAAAAATAGGATTTTGAGATTCCTGGGTAAACGCAAGAAAAGAATTAAGTGCTTCAAAAAAAAAAAAAAAAAGAATTGTTTCCTTTTGCCGGTGGTGGCGAGTGTGGAGGAATCGCTATGAAGGCCTCTGGCACGCTTGGAGAGTACAAGGTGGTGGGGCGCCGCCTCTCTACCATATGCAGATCTTTGCACCTAACCATGTTGTGGCCAAGTCCTGCTTTTGGTACTTTGTGTCTCAGCTAAAGAAGAAGTCTTCAGGGGAAATTGTCTACTGTGGGCAGGTATTTGAGAAATCCCCCCTTGCGGGTGAAGAACTTCAGAATCTGGCTTCGCTATGACTCCCACAGCGGAACCCACAACATGTATCGGGAATACCGAGACTTGACCACTGCAGGCGCTGTCACCCAGTGCTATCCGGACATGGGTGCCCGGCACCGTGCCTGGGCCCACTCAATCCAGATCATGAAGGTCGAGGAGATTGCAGCCAGCAAATGCCGGCGGCCGGCAGTCAAGCAGTTCCATGACTCCAAGATTAAGTTCCCACTGCCCCAACGGGTCCTACGTCGTCAGCACAAGCCATGCTTCACCAAGACGCCCAACACCTCCTTCTAGGTGCAGGGCCCTCTCCCCATCTCTGCCCATATAAATTCATGCCCAGGTGCTCAAAAAAAAAAAAGAAAGAAAGAAAGAAAGAAAGAAAGAAAGGAAAGAATTAAGTATCAACTGAGGAGAAAGGAATATGTACACGTGTGTGCGTTTCTTTGTGTGTGTGCACAGACATGCTTTCCTGGGGATGGGGTTTTGAGAAAGAAGAGGGTTTAGAGGCTTTTGAGCCTGGGAGGAGACAATCAATGATAAAAAAGCAGGTGGTTCAATGGTCGAGGGGCTTTGATTCCCTGATGTGTTACATTTGCACAGAATTTTATTGTAGTTTAAGGTAAATGGATAAATTTCACCTCTCTCTTCCCCACAGAGAGGAAAGCGTAAGACAGAGAGAAATAAAAAGTAAGGAAGAAGTGATGAATCCCCCAAATTAAAACACGGTGATGTCACATTCCATTTCAGATCCCCATGCTGGGATTTAAGCTCCTAAAGGACCCCAAATGTCTTTACGAGGTTATATTATTTCAAGAAAAGATATCGGGGCCCAGTGATCTAATGACAGGAAAAAAGGAAAGTCTGAAGAGGTGTGGTGAGGGTGAGGGGTAAAACTGACAGAGCGAGAAAAAGGAGATGCGACTCCAGAAATGGAAGAACCCCGAGAATACAGGGTGGGGGGGGAGGAGGCTGTTGATATTCTAGGGATCAGACTCTTCCCGTAGGGCATTGAGAGGGTTAGGTAAAACTCCCAGAGACACATGTAAGGAAAAAGAGTTTCTTTAGCCCTACTTTTTCATTTCTTTATATTTTCTACTCAAGAAACAACCATCAATAACAAACATATACGCCCACTCCAGGTTCTTGGCCCGCTTCTGGGGTAGGTTCTTTAATTGTGTTAACTCGGATACAGTAACATCAGTGTTTTTGTTTGTTTGCTTCTTTGTTTTTTAGCGTGGGGCTCTGTGAGTTAGGCTTCCTCTCCTTTCTAGTAGAAATACTACAGAGGAGGTCAGGTTTTCCCTATTAACTAATAGGAGCATGACAAAGAAAGAAGCTTAAAATAAATCGTGTCGTGATGTAAAACAGAAAGGTTAGAGACCATCCCAGTGTTTATCCTGGGCTATTAGTACAACTTACGTAAGTTTTTCCTCGAGACGTGCGGGGCTCACACCTTGTGGTCCACATTCTCCCGGGTGAAAGTGCATCAAGTCCGTTCTTGTTCTCAGATAATGGAAGGATTATAACCATGAAAATGACTTGCACAGAAGGGTTTTTCAAGAGCACTGGCACATTTTATCACTTAATTTTTCCTAAGAATTGGAGAAAAAGTGAGTGTAGTACTCTTAAATTCTTCAAGGCATTGAAATTATTGTATTTGCCAGAATCCATGGCAAGTTGAAGAAGGTAGCCTGTGTGTTCTGGCAACAGAGAGCCACAGAAATAACAACAATCAACCCAGAAATGTGGACATTGCCAGGCACGGGGTGTTTGTACCCCAGAAGTTTAGAAATTCTCATTTACATGTTTTTAACTCATTTTCTCCTATATGTAAGCTATAGCTATAGATGAATATGCACACACACACACATACACACATAGACGTATACCTGTGACATATATGTACATTACCTATAACATACAATGTGTGGGAGTCATGTATTTTCCGCTGTATGCCAGATAACATACAAACGAGGCAAGTTCTAATTTACCTGAGAATGTTACATTCAAGAATAACACTTCAAGTCACACATCCCTCTTAGAATATTTGACCCAAATATTGCAGACTGTCTCTGGGTTGTAGCATTTACCCGTAGGCAGCATGGAAGTGCTAACAATTAGGGATTCCATAGACTTGGAGATGGTTGCTCCCTAACAGCACTGACCAAAGCACATATTTGCATGAATACTGACGGTTTCTCAATCAACCTTTAGAATCACCTAATTTTTTCTCACCGTTAGAGCAATGTCATCTATGATAGCCACTCTTCTGTAGAGCAAAAGCAGATGGTTTTATAGAAGCCTCAGTGAACAGGTCTTTGGGGCCCTGAGCTAAGCTGGGAAATGGAACTTTCTGGTCCAGCAGTTTACACACAGGAGGTGTGGACATTGGATGTGGTTGCAAGTTTAACACAATTGCTTGGAAGAACAAAGGTAAAATGACACTTCTGGGGATCACGTCTAGACAATGTTACTTCTCTGACAGATTTGACTTTTTACAACCAGTAGAAACATTGTAAACAAAATCACACCCAAGACATGAAGGCCCAGTTCTCATCTAGCTGTCTCTTATTAACTCACTATTATCAATTTTTCTTCCTGTATGGGTCTACAAGCTGTATAACATGACTCATTTTGAAACACTGCCTTCTATTTTTCTCAGCCTATAAAATTCTTTTATTATCCCTGTGGTTATTTTGTCCAATTCACAATGTCAGTACTTTGGGCTTTGATGTCTTATTGGAGAGGTTAGCCCATTATACAACTGCTAAATATTGCCTGGATGGTGTGTGGTGAGCTCGGGCCACAAATTCCCATGATTGGGCCCCCTCCGGCCAGCCATGACCTCTAAAAGCAGAGTTGATTGCTCTCCCTTAGGAATTCTGCATGTCTACATGGTGTCTTATTTCAGTTCAACACAGTTCTCTGTTGCAAGGAATTGTAAATGGTTGAATGGCTTTGGAGCAATTGGGGTGTGTTTTATCTACCCCAGAGCCATTTAGATCTATGGAGAGACTTAAATGCTCCATCTTTTTACCTCATATCCTTCACAGTTCTGCTCCCAAAAGGGCTCAAAAGGTTGTGCCCTTCTCTATGTGAGATTCCAATTATTTCACATAGGTTCATTACCCCAGACAGAGGTATAGAGAGTGATTTCTTGAAGGCTTCCACTACTCAGAGTACCAGTGAGCACTTGCTGAATATTCTTTCATGTGAATAGAGATAGGCTTTCAATGTATGTAACACTTATCATACTCTGGGATACTTTTTAAAAGTAGTGTTCACACATCAATCCGCTGAAGATTGTCGTGTGGTCTCCACACGGTAATTACTACTTTTTCGTTGACAACCCACTGATTAACTTCTCCATTGATAACATAGACACGATGAGTTTGTGGTTGAGATTTCCAGTCTTTACCCTTATCCGGCACCACTGACTTTCCAGGTACAACCTAACACCCTGGACAAACAAACAAACAACACACTATTCTTCCTATCTGCCTAGCAGTTAGTTAGATAGGACGGTGTGTCTCGTTCTGATTGGTGGGCTGTAAGAGGAAATGATGTGGGCTATTTCTGAAATGAAATACTTAACTGCCTGTATGCGGCCTGTGCACACTGCCTTTACCTGTGGCGCTGACCGTGGTGGCCGTGCCCCCAGATGCCACACTGTAGGTCATATCACTGAGATAACCACAGGGAACCACTGTATATAGTTGCTTTGAAGAGTCACCTGGATCTTTGCATGAGTGAAAAGTAAATCTGACATCTGCTAAACCATTGAGACTGTGAGTTTGTTTGTTACTGTACCATAATCTATCTTTTTTAATCAGTAAAGATTTCTTCCATAATCAAGCCTAATGCCTTTAAGGCATTAACCTCGTTTTCTTTGAAGTTCAACCTCCCTTTACAGTTAGTGTAAAAGGTAAGATGAGGTGTCCCTAAGACATAGTGTTTACAACTGGTCTGTGCATACATACTACCCAGTTCATCACAAAGAACTCCGTGAGGTTCCACCAGATGTGCTATGAATTGAACTGTTTCCCACAGGTCAAGGCCCATGTACGCAAGGGGCCGAGGCAATTCACGTGATGTGAACTTCATCACATCGCTGATCATTAGTGAGCAACACTAATCATCAGAAGCAATGGACTTATGGAGATGATAGTGGTCAAATATTACTGTGATTGTGTTGCATGGAACCTTGGGAGTTTACAGCAAAATCACTAGTGATCCTGAATCTCTCCCTCACTAGTTTAGTCATTGCCTGCAAAGCTGGGGGCAGTAGAGTTCTCTGCCCCATGTGGTGTGTCAGATTCATGTAAGAGGCATTTCATGTTGGGCCCAGAGGTTATCCAGGGCTTGTTCTTCCAATAGAAGGGAGGACAAGTACAGAGGCCAAGATGTCCCAGGCGAGTACACGTAGAGCCTCTGCTCAGGGCATGTCTGCTGACATAGCACAGGTAGGCCACCTGGCCATCTGCTCTACCTGGAGGGATATCAAAGCCACATAACAAAGGATATCAGTGTATAATTCTATTAAATGGAAGCAGTAACCAAGAGGAAAAGACACACTCACACAAAAACAGTTCTACCAAAGGAACCATACCAAAACTGGAAAATCGAAGTAAAGATCATGTTATTTCAAATGATTATGAAATCTTAATTCATCTTTCCCCGTGACCTCATTCTGCTACATATTTAGTATTTCCTGATCCTGAAGCATTTGCTTTTGGCGTGTGTTTATATATTAACCTATTTATTTACTTGTCACTCATTTATTGCTTTTGGTGACTTGGGCACTTGGTGGCTAACACTTATGCCTTTCATGCCTCTTAATTTGACATGAACTTTCCCTCCCTTGTTTTATATTTAATAATTTTGGATAAATTGAAAAATTACAAATAACTCCTGATTTAATCCATGTGTTATTTCTCCCTGGATTGTGTAATATATGTATATATACATATATATTACATGTATGTATATATTTATATATATACAAATGTGTGTATGTGTGTGTATATGTGTGTCACTGAATGTGTCTATATACATTTATATATACAAATTTTGAGCGCATTCCATATACACACACACAGACACATTCAGTGTTTCATCAGAAATATTCCTGGCAGCCTGCCACAGGGAATGGCTTCACTAATGCTTGTGTTCCATCTTTCTTTTTCATCCTTTGCATATAGATCATGAAGGCATGTGTTTGGACATCCCATGAAGTGACTAATCAGATGATGAGAAGATAATTTTGTGATACAGACACAAACTGTTCTGCTC